ATATATGTATATTTAAAGATAGGCTTATAAGTTAGTTTCAGAATTTATAGACCATCTGTTTGCCTGAATGCATGGAATCATAAATCCTCTTTTTGTTGTGAAAGAGACATCAGAGGTCACTGATCTTTACAGTGAGTCCCAAGACCAGTAATGGTGAACCTTTTAGAGCATTCAGTGACAACAGCCTGCTGCAGCACAAGTGCCATAGGTTCAGTACTACTGCGTTAGATCAATCCCTAAGTGAGTCCTTTTATTCTTTTGCTCACAGAAAGTTTTGAGAAAGCTTCAAGAAACAATCTCTAAACCAGAGAGTCTCCTGATTTTTTTGACACTCATTTGAATTTTTTATTTTACTGTAAAATATATTTTAATATTAAAGTGCCTGTCACCTTACCAGTTCAAATCGGTGTTTTAAAATGGCACACCATATTTATCGCCTGCATATGCTTTAATATAAAACTGACATATACCTTGGTTTGGGATATGTTAAGTGGGGGGGGTATTGTTTTTCTTTCTTAGATAAGAAAGCAGTCCTTTAATTAGGAGTGATGGACTCTGCTAGAAACTATACAACTATTTAGTGTCATAGCCAGGATTTGAATCCAGATTTTCTAATCCCCAGTTTAGAATTCTTTCTAGTATATCATATTAAATTTATAACCAAATTTTATTATGCATTATAAGCATTCTTTAAGAGATCATATTAAATTTATATACAAGTTTATTTTAAACTAAGCCTCATTCTATAAGACAGTGTTAATTGAAATATATTCCGTTTTGTGCAAACATACATACTACCACCACCAAGTGTTAAGTAACAGATTTAAGTTTAGGACATGCTATATAGAATTCCACCTTAGAGCCTCAGTTCACAGTACACTGAAAGAAACCAAGAGCTGGGGAATTGGCACAGTGGTTCCAGTGCCTGCCTTGCAAGCAAAAGGTCCCGAGTTCAATTCCCAGTACAAAAAAAAACAAAAACTAAAACAAACAATCTAAGAAGGCTTCCATTACAGTTCATTTTCTTCTTTTTTAAATAAATTTTATTTTATCCCATTCCCCCCTTAAGCCTTCTTCCCTCCCATTGTACAAAAGCTTTGTTTCCATTTTTTCATTCTATTTTCACTTTTTCCCCCTCTCTGCTCCCTTATTTGAACATTTTCTTCCCATTTCCCAACATCTGTTAATTCATTTCAGTCCTTCTACTTTCAGTTTCACACACCAGAGAAATAAAGCAGTATTTAAATATGTGTGTCTGATTTATTTCCCCTCAGAGCATGGTTTCAAGGTCCATCTGTTTAGCTATAAATGTCTGAGGCTCATCCTTTTTTATAACAGTAGTAGTCCATTGTACTAAAAAATTCACATCTTCCAAGAAGTTCATTTTCTTAGCGTGGTGTTTCATACTTCTTTTACCTTGAGGGCCATTTACTTTTATCTTTCATGACATGTAGTTCAGTTGTGGTAGAACAAAGGTGGGATATTAGTTTAACTTTGGAAAAATAGCTTGTAGATATAGCATGTATATGGGCAGTTTTACTAAAGGACTCTTCTCAGGTAATGGAAAGGAGAAAGCCAGAGAAATGAGATTGGTCAACTTTGTCTGAAATTATTCTTAAAAATGTACACACATGCTACATGTTCTCTGTATTAGATTTCACCAAATACATAACATCCAAATTGATCTGAAACATTCTTGCTATTTTCCTCTTGGCCCGAAAATATCTCCTTGATGTGCCTTCACTGTTCAGTGGAATGTTGGAGCTGTTTTTAACCCATTTCCAAAGAACTCTGAAGTGGTAAAGTGATGCACTGGATTTTATGTTGTTCATATCTCTCTATTGTGGATAATTCAACATAACATGTAATTTTGTGAATCAGCTTTCATTAGAAACAAATGCTCTTTTTTTTCTGAATTGATAAGCTATGTAAAAATGAAAACAGTAATGGAATGCTACCTTTAATAGAATTATACAACCATTTGAATTATCTAGAAGTAATACATAACATTTTTAACGGGCACTTTTTCATGTGCTTTATATGTATTAACTCCTTTCTCAACCCTTTGAGGTAGGTAACAGTCATGAAAGTATAAGTTAAGTAATTAATTTTGCTTCTGCTTACATATTTTTAAGGTGTAAAACCCAGGAACCTGGGGCTAAAAATACTGTTAACTGCTGCGCTGTACTCCTGTTGTAAATTGATTGTAAACAACTTTTTTATGTTTTAAAAACATAAGTCTTTTTGTACATTCATTGAACAGTAATTACCTACCTTGTATTGGTACCTGAACTAGGAACTAAGGTATGAAAAATTCTTTGTGGCTTTTGACCATGAAGAGCTAAAAAAGAGTTTACTTGTTTATAGCTAGCAACTTGCTAAAGAGTAGTTTTTAAATTATTTTTCATCAGTGTTAGACTTTATATAGTAATTTTAAATTTTTAATTGTGACTAAAAAAACAGCACAACATAGAATGTAACATCCTATTTTTTTAAGTGTACAGTTTAGTACTGTTAAGTACATTCACATCATGGTGCAACAAATCTCCAAAATGGTTTTATCTTTCAGAACTCAAACTCTGATCCACTATACAATTTTCCCATTTCCCCCTCCTCCGAGTCCCTGGAAGTCACCATTCTAGTTCTTGTTTCTATGAATTCACTTACTTTAAATACCTCATACAGGTGGAATTATACTACGTGGTCTTTTTGTGACTAACTTGTTTCACTTAGCCTAGTGTCTCGCAATTCATCCCTATTATAGCATGTCAAGATTTCCTTCCTTTGTAAGGCTGAATGATACTCCATTTATACATGCATCACATATTCTTCATTCATCCATTGATTGCAGACACTAGAAGTGTTGCCACTTCTTGGCTCCTTTGAACACAGGGGCACAGTACTTCTTTGAGACCTTATTTTTAATACTTTGGATATGCAGTAAGAAGTTGGCTTGCTGAATCATATAGTAAATACTATTTGTAATTTTTTGTTTTTGTTTTTTGAGACAGGGTCTCACTATGTAGTTGAGACTCACTGTGTAGTTCAGGATAGTCTCAAACTCACAACGATCCTCCTGCCTCAGCCTCTGGAGTGCTGGGGTTACAGGCATGCGTCACCACGCCCGGCCCTATTTGTAATTTTTCAAGGTTTCCATAGCAGTGGTAACATTTTATATTCCCCAAAACAATTCCAAAGTATTTTACAACTTCTTTACATCATCACCTAGTATATTTTGGTGGTGGTGGTGGTGACTGCGGAAGTGGTTTTTGAGGATAGCCATTCTTCCTGTTTTTTATTTGCATTTCCCTAAAGATTAGTTGATACTATTTTCTTGAATGCTCACTGACTGTTTTTATATCTTCATTAGACTATCCAAGTCCTAGTCTCATTTTTAAATCTGGTTATTTTGTTGTTCAGTTATAAGAGTAATGTATATGTTCTAGATATCAACCCCTCTGAAATACAATTTATAAATATTTTGTTATTCCATAGGCCACCTTTTCATTGTTTGCGAGGTCCCAGTATGTACAGTTTTTTAAGTTGAATATTTCTTTTGGTTGGTTATGTTTTCATGTCTTATTCAAGAAATCACTGTGAAATCCAGTTGCAGGATGCTTCTCTGGAAGTTTTATGGTTTTAGGTCTTACAGTTAAGTCTTTGATCCACTTTGAGTTAATGATCCACTTTGAGTTAATGTAGTGTAGTATAAGGTAATGGAATAGTTTCATCCTTTTGCATGTGTTGTTTTCCCAGCAACATTTATTGAAAACTCATGTCAGATTTTTTTTTTTAAAGATAGGAAAAGGAACAGTCTCTTCAGAGCGAGTTTAGGCCAAGCAAAAATAGGAAAAGATGTACACCCTACACCCAGTGAGTGGGCTACCATGCAAAAGAGAACACAGTGCCCTGTTCTGTTAGATTTTTTTAGTTGTTATGAAATGAAGACTTGTAATATTCATTTTAAAAAGATACTTTTTTAAAACTTTTAAGTGATCATTTAATTTTATAGTTATGTTTTTTAATAAAATTTCTATGGTATATTAAAATTTTACATGTTTCAGCATCATTCTATATATATTTTCAAATGCCTAACATATTAAATTGTTTATTCCTTCAAGCTATTTCTTTAAGGTAACCAAAGTACATTAATCCAAAATAAATAATATAGAAATAATTTGCATAAAATTCTTTGTCCTTTTTCTTTTCAGGGAAGCAGCTCGGGAGTGTCGTAGAAAGAAGAAAGAATATGTGAAATGTTTAGAAAACAGAGTGGCAGTGCTTGAAAACCAAAACAAGACACTGATTGAGGAGCTAAAAGCACTTAAGGACCTTTACTGCCACAAATCCGATTAGTTTGGGATTTAAATTTTCACCTGTTATGGTCGAATCAAAATGGACTGGATTGGTCACAACCAGAAAGACAAAATAAACGTTTTATTTTCTAAACATTTCTTTTTTTCTATGCGCAAAACTGCCTGAAAGCAACTACAGAATTTCATTCATTTGTGCTTTTGCATTAAACTGTGAATGTTTCAACACCTGCCTCCACCTCTCCCCTCAAGAAATTTTCAGCGCCAGGAATCATGAAGAGACTTCTGCTTTTCAACTCCCACCCTCCTCAAGAAGTAATAATTTGTTTACTTGTAAATTGATGGGGGAAAATGAGGAAAATGAAAATTTTTTTTAATGATTTCAAGGTTTGTGCTGAGCTCCCTGATTGCCTCAGGGACAGAGTTATCCTAGCCTCCTGCGCTGAAGTAATGTGTGGGCCGCATGCATACAGTAAGTAAGGTGCAATGGAGAAATGTTGATTGCCAAACTGACTTGTTTTCACATTTTCATGGTGAATTATGTAAAACTATTAAAAGACAAAAACCCTCTAAAATAATTTTTTGAGTATGGTTTTGAAGGAAATAGGAATGAATTCGGAGTACTCTGTATGCTTTTCTTCAATACTGAAAACTTGTTCATAATCCTCAAAAATACCCTGTATTACTTAGATACAGGGCGGTTGTTGCTTCTTAATTTGCTTCTATGTGTGTTCAGCATTTCTGAATACATTGAAAGAAGTAACCAACTGACAAAACATGGTATTTGAATTTTAAATTAAATTGAAGTAAATAAAAGTACAAAGCTTAATTTAGTTAGCACTAAATCTTATTAAAAAGACACTCACTAGTAAACCAATCCCTTGAGTTATATAACAAAGTTTTTAAATAAACACTTTTGTCCTCAACATCAAAGATATTTATATTTGTCACTCATTTACTGTTGCCTTTTGCATCTACATTGTACCAACAGGAAAGTCTTCAAGTTACTACATAAAGCAAAGTGATATATTTATGTGTTATAGGAAAAATAGTGATTTTAAAAATCTTTTCCATATTAATCTTTTCCATTTATCAGAGAATCTCTAACGAATTCTCTAATTGAAAGGCGTTACAAAGATACAGTCCTGCCAGGGCTTTAGCTCAGTGGTGTCACCGCCTGCCTCACAAGTGTAAGGACCTGAGATTGATCACCGGTACCAAAACAAAAAAAAGATATGGTCCTAAAAGGTCATGTTACTTATACACATGAAAAGTGATTTTTTTTTTTCAGACATATCTGAATGTCTGTCATACAACATTTGGATTGTCATTCTTGTAAAACTTTGTTTTTTAATTTTGTACCAGGGATTGAACTTGGGACCTTGCACTTGCAAAGCAGGCAGTAGAACCACTGAGCTAAATCCCTAGCCCCTTAAAAAATTTGTTTTCATCTAAAATGGGTAGTATGCTTTAGCTTTCTAATATACTTTGTAGCTTTTTTCATTTATAAAGCAACTACCTATTTTAATTCTTCTCTGGCAGTCTCATTTGTGTATATCATACATTGTTCCCAACAATACTTTTATCAGTTACTTGTTTTATTCACTAAGCCTGATAAATTAAAAATTATCCTTTAAAAGAAAAATAAGACTAAGGTAGAGTAAATATTGGAGACTGACATAATGTTAGATTATAGTTTCTCATTTGAGAAGGAAATGCCTTTTTAAGAAATCAAGAAGCAAAATATGTATTTAGTCATGGGTTACTTAAGGTTAAGTTTGTTAACATCATAAACTGTACAGATACAAGTTGTAGTTATTGAATCCATTTTAAAAGTAAGGTTTTTTAAATTTGTAAATGTTCTATTTTTGTTTATAACAAACCATTGTCTTTTTTCAAGGATGAACAGTTTATGAAGGAGCATCATTCTAAGAATTGAGTGATGTAGTCCTTATATTTGGACAGTTCACCAGATTCTCAAGAAGGCTTTCAAACGACTGTAAAGTTTAATGTTTGTCCTGCTGAGCTAATGGGGAAACTGATAGCAAAATTTTTTTTTGTATGTTAGCATAGTATGTCATTTTCTAAATATGCTTTAACAGAAACTAAGCAAAATCACAGATCTGTTCACAAAGCTGCAATTACTTCATACTGAGTCAAGTCAAATTGAACACTTTGAATGTTGTAAGCATTGTGAGTGAAATTGCCTGGTGTATAGCAAGTTGTAGTTGCTATAAAGTTGTCCGTTTTTCCAAAAGTTGAGGCTTTCTGCTGAATTAGGAAGTTGGTGACCCTCTTGGTCCCTGATAAATCAAGGCAATCACATATCAGGTGGGTGGGTTTACAAGTTATGAAGACCTGGTCCTTTATACCTTAACGATGATTGCACTGTTTTGAATTCAGTTACTTAATAGTGAGGTGAGAAATGTATTATGTTGCTAAATCTGTTTTAGACACTTGGAGAGACTTGAAGCTTCATTTCAGTTTATACAGATAGAAATCAAGCATCTTTTATGCAATTTTTTTTAATACAAGAATTAGAACACGTGTTCGTTTTTAAGCTTGTAACTTTGAGAATCTTTATTAAGAAAATGACATTATTTTTAAAAATACTGTAGCCAAGAACATATATGGCCACATTATCAGTAATGTTTTTGTCTTCATATTGGCCAAAAGGGAATGATGATGTCATCATAGGAATATGTATATATGCTACTGATTTGCCTAGAAAATAGCAAGTTTGGTATTGCTCACTTTGCAAATATAGGGCCATGTGGCACTTTTATCTATAGGACAGATTAACTCTAATAAAAATGAAATGGGGAGGGGTTTATTTTTGATATATTACTATTATGAGTTTTCAAGCTTTGATAGTGTTAAACTGAAGAGTGGTTTAGAAAGGGCTAGAATCCAATGTGTTCACATTAAAAAATTGATATACAATTTTAAGTTCATTCTTTTTCAACCCCAAGTACCATATTGACAACCATAATATTGTCATAGGTGCTCTGTTCATTTAGATATTTGGGGGGGTTGGGGAAATGGCATTTATAATATATG